AAAATTAAGATGTTTAACGTTAGCTTGAAACGAAATTTCAAATGAATAGATAGTAAATAACTTACAAGACTTTTGGAACAATTAAGTGCATTTAAAATAGAATAAAAAATCAATGAATATCAGAATGATCTTAACAGCTAATTCCTGCATGCTTAAGACACCTCACCTAAATGTGACTGAAAAAGTGGTCGATTAATGATTATGTTATATCGTGAAGGTTATTTTCTTGATATACCGCGTATAACTGGGTACTAGAACACCAAAACCCTTCCAAGTCGCAATAAGAAGACAGAAGACTAATTAAAGGAATATTATTCCAAACAGTGTCAATTATAGTACAAAATTGTCAGGTATTTATAATTTTTAGTAAGAACGAAATCATCATTACAGTTCACCAATCCGCATACAGGGGGTTATTAGCGTTGTCCAATCAGGAAGCTACACGTAGGAATTCCAAAATATTCTACGAAAAGGTGATTGAATAGAATATCTTCGGCTCCTTCTGAGCCTCTTACAGCTTCCTCGAGTTCACCCGTGGTCCGTCGTCACAGATTAGTTTTTAATAATTCTTTAGGTGGTGGTACATAAAAAAGGAAAATTTATTTTTCACTGTGTTAGTAACACAATACACCATAATTAATTACTCTATTTCATAAGATGGTAACATGAATCCATTTAAATACAAGTAATGAACTATAAGAAGAATGTAAAATACTTTACTAAGGTAACAAGGAATATTTTAAAAGTTATATGAGTTTCATTGACCACACAAATTTAAGTTATCTACCATTTCTTAACATCTAAATTCAGTGACAATGTTTATTAAACTAAAAGAAATATGAATTGACATAAGATTGAAGCTACTGGTTACAAAATAATTATTCACTTCTGAGTATGTATCATTTATAGATGGTTAAATTTAATTTAGAAATTTTTTAGTGCAAAACTTGAGCTGTATCATTCACTATTGTTACACATTTGATGAATATAGATTGTATTAGTGGTTTTTGAATGATTGTAATTGCTTTCATTCTTTAAAAACAACTACTACTGATTATAAGCAAAGATAGATAGTGGTTAGCAGTGGGATCCAGGACACGTATTTTATTCTATTTGGGACTCGTCAATTGGATGTATCTGCATCTCAGAGTTAATGTTCACTCTGAGTCTTGAACTCAGTACCGTTCGCTTCGAACGCCATCGCATTATCCACTTAGCTAAGACGAAACGCGCATCCTAGATTCCACTACTAGAAAATATAATCTCAATTTTCTATAGTCTATCACTTCAAATGATATCTTTTGATAATATTGAAGTTTATAATAATTTGAAATGTAATTCATTAACATTGTAACCTATAGATTCATGTTAACTAAACAGATCCCTCAAAAGTCTAAATTCTTCGGATAAAGAACTCCATCAACTGAATATCAGACACACCATTTTTTTTTTAATTTGCCTACCCGATCTGATAGATTATTGCTTACTAACTAAAGAACTCTAATCTGTTTTGAAACAAAACGGAAACAGTTATGTAAGGTTCAATTATGAATATTTTTAGTTTTATTGATTTAACATTACCGTAAATTATCCAAATTAATCTAAAATTAAAAACTCTTATTATATACTGATGACAATATGTAACAAACAAGATATAAATTATAATGAAAAAAACCTTAAGTAGAATGATTCAAATGATCTGAAAATGTTTTTATGCAATCTAATAGTATATTAGAATAAATTATTATGATAAATACACTAAGAGAGATTACATATTCATACATTATTTAACTTATTATTATCACCTACTTTTCCATTATAAATCATCTAATATTAATGGATAATAATTTATCTAAATACTATTGTAAACTTCAACTATATTAAATTAACTATCTTTAACGATGCAGGGAAAATAAATTATTCGTATAAGATAAGAAGTACATTTCATTCGTGATGTTCAACATTTTCAATACCGCTAAAATAATAGTTTGTTTGTTTGTTTTTGTTGTTGTTGTTGTTAATGTATTTCTATTTGTTAACATTCCAACTGATATACATGATAATTCATTATAACAAAGAAAACTAAAATTCATAATTAAGCCGAAAATATTAAAATGATTTGTGTTTGTAAGAAAAATATATTAATTCACATATTATAAGTTGAATTGATAGTTTCAAATTTGATCAACAAATAAACTGAATAGTATAAAAAAGATTAAAAATGGTATAATGAAACTATAAAAACATTATTGTAAAAATTGATTATTTTGGTGCAAACATCGAGTGATTTCAAAATAGTTTATTTTTTAATCTTATTCTTAAAATAATTGAATTCATGAGTCAATTGAAGCTAGATCACTATGAAAACTCTGGATTGGTTGAAGTTAAATATTATTATCGTTGGATGCCGTCCGGCTCAGTTGTCTAGAGATTAAACGTTTGCGCGCGAAACTGATAAGTTCTTAGCTCAAATCTCGCTGCGTGGAAGTGTGGATACGCATTGCTGAGGAGTCTCATACTAGGATGAAACGTCCGTCAAGTGCTTTTAGGTTTTTCATGATGGTCTAACGCCCATTAACTCATGAATTCAATTATTAAATTACTACAATCTCCACAAAATTCCTCTGTTGTTCTTTTAATTTATTAATGAAATTATATTACTCACTGATTTTAATAGTCAATAGGAATCGAATAACTAATGAAATTACATCCCAGTAATATCTTACAAATTTTTCATTAATATTTAAAGTTCAATGAATCCATTTTAGCATTTATTAGCTTAGTTATCTTCTAGAAAATCATGACAAATACAATAAATAAGCAGTGATCAGTTGAGTTCAACCGGGTCTGTTGTGAGATAGTAACACAACACAATGGTGAGTATGTCGATCAATTTCGTGGATTGCTTGAAGTTAGACATCGAACCCGTTGGATGCCGGCCCAGTGGTCTAGATGTTAAGCGTTTGCGAGCAAGACCGACAAGTCCTGGGTTCGAGTATTGCGAGGCGGGAACGCGGATGCACACTGCTGAGAAGTCCCATACTAAGATGAAACGTCCGTCAAGTGCTTTTAGGTTTTCCATGATGGTCTAGCTTCGATTAACTCATGATCTCAAGCATTAAAATAAACATGAATTGGAAAATCTAAATTAGGTCACAGGATATAAAATTTGAAATCAGATTATGGATGAATGTGGTAATTAAAAAACTTGATCTGACTTTTGCGTTCTTTAATGAATAAACTACTCATTGTTCCAGTAATTTATCTTGTGTTGGTTGTTTTAATCTTCCCATCGACAAAATGAATAAAAATTCACATCATTTTATAAACGAGTGGCTAACTGAACTCACCAGTTCAGTAAATAACAAAAACATTTTGACGCAAATGGTACTCCGTTCAGATGGAATAAGGAAAGGAGGCACATCCATCAAACGAGTCCTAAACAAGACAAAACGCGGATCCTGGATTCCAGTGCTAGCCACCATTATTTTCTGATTATATCTGGTGCATTGTAACTTATTTATTCATCCTATCAAACATAGATAATTCTTGCAAATTAAAAGTGATTTCTGTGCAGTTCAGAATATATATATGAATAGTTACCAGTAAATTTCAAAATTTGTTTACGTATTATGCAATTGATGCTGTTCTTAAATTTACACAAAGTGAAAACAACATTATTTACAGAGTGGGGTTAATGTACCATATTCACAAGATATTACCATTCTAACATTGTCTACATAAACCGAATATTTAAGAAGTTGGGTACAAAACAATTCTTTACTAGTTATCATTCTCATTTTAAACATTTACATTCCAGTGATTTTTAACAGCTAAACCTATTCATTCCTCAATGCATTTCTATCTTTTTTTATATGGATTTAAAGATCCCATAACATTTTGTTTGATAGGTTTATACTTCGAACTTCAGTCAGTTCATGATTTAACTCAACGATAAATCCTTGAAATGTCCATTCAACATTGGTTAAACAACCAATGACACTGAATGACTGTCGCTCAAACTGACTGAAAATGAGAATATAGATCATCCAATTTCAAATTACTTATCCAATTGTATCGTTGATATCATGAACCTGAATTTATAATTTCGACCGTTGGTTAGCTTGTGGATAGGTACTTTTAAGGAATAAGGCAAAATATCAATCACATGCTCATTGTTAATATTAGTGAGTAGTTCATACTCTTCCCAGAGTTGTATTATTATTCTTTTACAATTAACTGATCACTGGGTGGTGAACATTGTCATGTGTGTCAGGTCAGATCGGATCCTATCGACCAAGTTGCAATGTGGCTACCAGTCTAGGTGACTCGACATCGCATTCACTATATTGAAATAAGATGGTTGTTGGAGGTAGTCAATAGGAAACCTTGAACCTAGGTTTCGTACTATTCTGTTTTTATTATTCTATTTCAAAAGAGTTACATTTCTTAAAGATCGTGGGTGAGCACTACTGAGGAGTCCCAAGCTAGGACGAAACGGCTGTCCAGTGCTTCCAGGTTTTCCGTGGTGGTTTAGCTTCAATTGACTGATGATTTCAACTATTGAAATTTGTTAAATAACTATACAAATTGAATAGTTCTAAATTCTAGGATAAACCACCATATATATCATTAAATCAAAAAGAAAATGAAAAGTAACAAGTAGATCAATGCCATGAAATATCACGACATGAATAACTTGTTTAAAAAGAGATTGTAAAATGTAATACATCTAGAGATTCATTGTTAAGTATAGTTAGATACATTTAATTGTTATGCCTAAAAATTGACTTATTCAAGAAGAAAATAATAGTGAAGAATAACCTGATTAAATTCATGTTTAATTTCTATGTTAGTTCTATTTTAAATTACTACTTTATGTATTAGTAAAACAAAACACAAGCGGTATAAAGTTTTATTAATATTAAAACAATCGTAATTTTGTCTAATTTAACATTATTTTTTTTCTTTACTTGTATTTACTTTCGTTACTTAATCAGACATCTCAAGGTGATCTACCATGGATACATGGATTAAATCGTGCTGGTGTAAACCAAAAACCATATAATACACTTGGAAGAGAACGTCGATTCTTTTGTAATCCAATGGGATGCGTCTAACTGATACTGAAGAACAACATTTTTTTTTAATAAAAAAGAGATATAATCATATAATTATGTAATCATATAATCATGTCTGTATACTTAAATAAAACATAAATAAATGTCTTTCTTGTCAATAATTAATAAACGTGATAAATAAAATTATTTATACAGAAATCAAAAAAGATTAATTTTTCTATTACAATGACCGATTATAGATGATCGAATTAAATGTTGATCTTTTTTTCGAGGTTTCACACCAAAGATTAGTTTTGGTTAAATAACCATTAAAGCTCAGAAAGCACTAGGCAACTACTTCATCTTAATATGAAAATTTTCAACAGAGTGAGTGCACTTTCCCAATAAGGAATCCAACTCATAACTTATTAGTCACTTAGCTTCAGACTATCTGAAACGACATCGAACTTTAGTCAATTCATGACTTACCTCGAGAGATAATTTCTGGAATTCTGGTACATAATATTGACCACTGGTATAAGACAACTTTCACTAATGATGATGGATGACATTAATTGGTGATAAGAATAGGTCACTTCATAAACAGTTTGGTATAATTGGAAAAATTACGATAATATATGATAACAAACTTTGTTTTCTAAGCACATTTACATGTCATCATAAAAAAAATATTGGTTATCGGAAACGTAGATGTAAAATAGTTCATTTTACCAAAATTTAGTAGGTTAAGGTTTATTAAAGTTTCTTTGTACTAATTACACCATTTTTCAAACACTCAGGATATTTGAAAAGAACAGGATGATTTAATTCTGTATCAAGTGGTTGGTGATGGTGATTATCAATCCCAAATATTTGTCTTACATTTATTGTTGGAGGAAACATACATTTTATTGAAAAAAAACCATGACGTTACTGATTCATAAAAGCTAACCATCTTTCATTAGATTTCAATACACTTGTAAACACGGTTAAACGATTGTTTTCATTTGAATCAGATATGTTCACCACTAACATTGTGGTGTGTGTTACTTATATTGACATAAGTAGTATATAATCTTAGTCGTGAACAGAAGGTCTGGCAGCAAAGTGACAAGAGGATCGAACAGTTAAAAATAGAAACAGAATGCACTTTGTATGAAAATTCAAGAACAATCAAGTCTGAATCATTTTGAAACAATTGGTGGACATTTTGCAAATTAAACATTTATTTTATGATTGTTAGATTTTATTAAGTTTTGTAATTTCATGTTAAATACATTCGATTGTCCCTACTCGTGTTCTGTTCACTACAGTAAGTTTTCAGATAGTTATATTCATCATAAATATTAAGTGAACTACTGGTTAGATATCAGTAATAAATGTTATACCATGGCGTCCACAATATCGATCCTGATGCTCTGTAAGCGAGTTGACTTAATCATTAACTGTGTTTAGTTTCGAGAGATCGAAGAAATTTCTTAAAGAACATCAAAGAAACATCTTGCTTCTCTTGATATTGTTCAGCATCATCATTATCTTTGGTATCTCGTAGGAATTCATTTCGTATTAAAAACTCAAACATTTATCTCCTGAAGTCAAAATCATGTATACTGCTATTGAAGTACTATAAATACAAATGAATCAGATGAACTAGTTAGCTTTCAAATAGTAATATGTTCTATTTTTCTTCAGCACTAACCAACCTTTAAAATCTATTACTGTAGTTGTTGGGATTTTTTCATTGATTGACAATACTTTTGATACATGTACGGTAATAATATATTTCTATTGAAACCACATAAGCAGCTGAGCGGGATAAGGTCACAATTAAAGCATAAATACAATCCATCATCATTCGGTGAGTATTCGCTTTGCCAGCGACCTCAATTTATTGTTTTACTTATCATTAGTTATGCAACTATATCAATAATCATAACTCAAACTAAACACTAATGATCATAAGGTTATCACTTTTTTATGAACACTGTTACACAATTAGAATTGTTCCATTAGTAAAAGCTTTACAAATGAACAACAACATGTACATTCCGACAAATAAATTAAACTAATCCTTTCGGGTTTTTAAGATTGAAACTCATTTTTCTAAACCAGTTGAATCACAAGTATCATGTACAAGTAAATAAATCGCAATTAAATTATCTCTAAGATAGGAGCAAATAAATGATGCTTCATGGATTTATACTGCTTAAATTAGTTCATTTATGCAAGTTATAAATTTATAGATGAGTAGTCTTTTGATTGGAAAATTCGATGATTTATATGCTTTTGTTTCAGTCCTCTCAGTCCCAGTAAAAAGTAAACATTTTCGACAAGGTTTATAGAAGAATAGTATTGCTCCTCATACAATTCATAGATTATCCGTAATTAAACATATAATTCATGCCAGTTTTCATTTCATTGAATTTTTCATAGATAACCAGTTGTTTTATTTCTTTGTAATGAATCCAGTCAGTTGTTCGGTGCTTATACTTCTTTGCTAATTATTCAATAAAAAGATATTCGGTCTATTCCTCGTAGATTTAGTCCTTCTATTACTAAACGAATTACAAGAAATGTTATTATTTTATTTAATACGACTGATTGCATACATGATGTATTCATATATCTTAAATGATCCAAAAGAGAATTTTATGTGGAAAATGTTATCAAGGATTAAATCAAGCGTTATCATTTGTTAAAATAACCTTTTAATATCAAAGAAATAAGTTTAATGTTTTCCATCTTGATGGCTAACCAATAAATCTGATGTGAAGACTTAAAATGAAGTTAACTAATTACTTATTTCTCATGTGAATTAAAACTATGAATTTGAATATTACTGACTCAATGATCTATAAACGAACATAAAAGAATTAACTTCTACCTACGACTAATTTTTATTAGTATCAGCTAGTTCTGTGCAACTGGAATCAGAACAGTAAAAGCGTCCATTATATATATAATTTAAACAGTTCAAAGGAACAAAATAAAGATATTTAATACCACTAAAAAAACAAACTTGGTCAATTGAGTGTCATTTCACTCTAGCCGAGGCAATATTTTGCGATTTTACTGAGTAGTTTGAATATACTCAATTTAGTTCGTCTACTTGTTCTTTATGTGAATAAACTAACTGAATTACTTCACGAAATGTTGGAAATTTGATTTCTTTTTTTCCTACTTACTAAGTAATTACAAATGAATCATTATTTTTATAGTAAATAATCTACCTTATAGTAGATTTGTATGGAATTATCAAGTCCAATTTTGATAATGATACCTTAAACACCGGTCATTGAACTATTCATAAACTCTTCATATGAATAAGTTTTTTGAAATTACTTAAATAACTTTTCAAAGAAAATATCACTGCAAAACGTGTATGACCTTCAATTAATCCGATTTATAAAACTATGTTAAGTGGACAGATTATATTTCATTAATCATATAATGACCATAATAAAAAGGATTATTTTCAATTTTTGTTTTTGGATTAATGCCATCTGATAAACCGATGAACTCTAGTGATCATTGATTGACTATATGGATATATATATCTTCTAGATACCTTCTGAAAGGCATATATCTTGGCACCTTTAACCCAGTTATTATTTTTCATTTTTTTAATTATTTGAATAAACATAAATTAATTCACTGGATTTTTAAATCCATTCCATTTGCTCGTAATTTACGTTTTATGATAATTTTTAGATAAATTTTTCATTGTTGATATATTGACTCTAATCATAACGTTTTATATATATGGGATTGTAAATTTTTTTTTCATTCGTACTAACCATTGTACTACTTTATACAACTCAACATGTGATATTATCAAATAGAGTAATTATGTCGAATGGTAATAATCATTCATTTATATATATATGCATGCCATGATAAGTATTAGGTAGATAAGTTGAATGTTATTTGTGTACTACTACATGGGTTGTTTCATAAATCTAAATTTCCACTTAATTGACTTTATATTTAATGTTTTTTTCATATATTGGTAAATTAGTATTAAAAGCATATAAGATAAAGAGAGGGAAATAGATGACAAAAATATGTCAGATTAATCTTAATTATTATGAATAATTAAATTTATAATTGAACAATGTTGAAAAACTTAGTTACAACTGAATTAACGTTATTTTTTTTTGTTTTGATGTTTATGTAATTAGACATGTTCATCATTGAGTTGTTTCGTGTGATTAAATGTAGTAATCTGACAATTTATATAGTGAAACTTGGAAGAAGAAAATTATAAGTTATGAAATAATTAAACTAAAGAACAACCAGATCGATGGAATTTTTCGTTTTTAGAGTAGAAGATACAAGAAAAATAAACAATCGCATCATTTCAGACTGTTTTTTTTGCTTTCAAATTTATCGTTGAAAACTTCAGTCAGTAATTGCTATTACATATGGTACTTTAGTATGAACACTTAGCGGCTCCATTAAATAAATACTGCTACCTTTCTTCCAACCTACTTTTGTCCTTTGGTTTTTGTAGATGATTCATATTCTCAGACTTCATCTAACCGATTCAATTCCCAGTCTGTTTGATTTCAACAGTATTTTACATACCCTACTGCATGTCTTTGAAAACTAATAACATATGACAACTGTTTCTAAAAACAACATCATCTAATGAGTAAATGATATAAAGACAAATTGAACTGATGTATGGTTATATCCAATACTTTCCAACTACTCTAATTGATCATCGCTAATTAAGGTCAAAAGTAAACTTGGCTTTTATGTGATTACTCTATGCTTAAGTTTCTCGATAACATGCAGATCTTAAACAAACATTTATCCATAACTCTTATCTAATGCTTTTCATCATATATTTATCATTTAATCACGGTTTTATGTACTGTTTGTTTACTCTTGATTTATATTTGCTTTGAGATTTTAAATAATATCTTACAATATTTTACTGTTTGCTGAACTAACTACATTTTCACAGTACATTAGGAGATACAATAGCTTAAGTCAAGGGAAAAATTTAACTTCTAATTTTAGGGGAAAGAAACATAAGTTTTGAAAATGTAACT